CATCTTCTAATATTTTTGCATCCCCCAAAGGGCTGAGTATATTATGAACTGTATGTAGTAGGGACTCCATAAATATCTATTGATTTATCGTAAAAATTCAAGACGACGGCTGTTAAAGAGTACATGAAGGCGCCACAGTGACAATGTACACTTCTGGGAAAACAAACATGTCATCCAAACTTGTGTTTCATACCTGATAACACTGTCGATACAGTTAATTTGCTGATAAGACGGGCTGTGCTGCTCTTTTCTCAAATCCTCGTAAGACTCAGTGTATGTGCTATTATTTTTCAATGTCTGGAAGGAAGAAAAGGCCTTCTGCTTACCTAAAAGAGAATAAAAGGATGTATGATTTAAAACATATTACTCTGAAAAACATGTACTTATTCAGCAAAATTAAATCACGGTCCTTGAGAACACAAGTGGCCACAAAACTGGAAACTGCAATTCTAGATATTAATCCATACATCCAACAAGCCGTAAAATTTCAAAGACTAAAAAAAAAAAAAATGTTGCAGTGAATACTGAAGAATTTATGGCAACTCAGCAAAAAGATGGGGTTGGAAAAAGATCATCCAAAGATATAAACATAAATAATGAAACTGAAGTAGTGCTTTCAAATATTTTGAGCGATAAAGATAGTGACTTTGTGCCGATTAAAGAGAGAAGATTGATGGCTTTAGATACAGACGCCAACACTGAATAAAATTTATTTAATTTTTCATTACCATTTTTGTGAAAATATGGGCAATAAATATTTTTATGACTTATACTGGCCTATTTCTTTAGTATTTTTTCCATATCAGTGGACTGTTTTTATGCAGTTTTGTCTGCCTAAATCAAGGGCAGGGTGTGCCGATGTTTTCCAGATAGGGCGCATTCCAGAAGGCGCGTCTCAGATGGACTCACGCTGCACATAGCCTTCTGTTTCTGGCTTCTTTCGCTGGGGAAAAGGCACTTAGTCTCCACCTACATGGCCAGCTGGACCGACCACGTCAGCTCCTGTGAATTATGGAGCAGGCCTCCCAGGTGGCAGGCCATGGCGGGTGGCCCACCACGTACCCGTTCACCCTGTCCGCCATCGCGCCGGCCATCCGGGTCATCTCCTACTTCTGGCAAGTCTGAGTAAAGTGTAATAAACACTCATGGACAGGTTTCTATCTGAACTTGAGCTCTGATTTCACCTGGGTAAATAACTAAGAAGGAAATGTTTAACTTTATAAGAAACTGCCTAACTTTTCCAAAGTCGCTGTATAATTTTCACATTACCTGCCGAGATATGAGAGTTCCAGTTACTCTGCATTCTTGCCACTAGGTACTGTCAATTTTCCCCCTTTTTAGTTTTAAAACAATTCTGTTTCCAATTTTTCTTTGTTAGTATACAGAAATTTAATTGATTTTTATATACTGACCTTGTATCTTGTGACTTTGCCAAAATTAACTTTGAAGATTTTTTAGAATTTTTCTACATAAAGCAGACTTTTATTTCTTCCTTTCTAATCTGTATGCCTTTTATTTCTTTTTCTTGTCTACTGCATTGGCTAAAACTTCCAGTACAATGTTAAAAAGAATTGGTACCTAGACATCCTTGCCTTATCCTCAGGGTGAAAGCATTCTCTCATTGTTTTGCATAACATCAGATCCAAATTTATGTCTGGTACCATATTCTTTTTGCCTTTAGAAATTCCATTAGTACTTCTTATAGATCTGCTAATAAATTCCCAGTTTTTTGTTTGAGAAACTCTTTATATTTCCTTCATTTTTGCAAGATACTTTCCAGTAGGTATAGAATTTTGTATTGACAGTGTTTTTCTTTAAAGACGTTAGTCTAGTGTCTTCTAGTGTGCATGGTTTCTGAAGAAATGTCTATTATAATTCTGATCTTTCTTGGTATGTAATGTCTTTTTTCCTCTGGCTGCCATCAAGATATTCTCTTCTGTTCTCAGTAGTTTGAAAATTATATGCTCAGGTGTGTGTTGTTTTTATTTTGTGACAGGTGTTTTTCCTTTCCTTTTCTTTTCTTTTTTTAATTGTATTTATACTACTTGATGTTCTTTAGAACTGTGAAAAATCTTGGCCATCATTTCTTCAAGTATTTCTTCTGGATTCCGATTACTCATATGTAAGATCATTTGATATTGTTCCAAAATTCTTAACATGCTCTATTCTGAATTTCTTTCTCTTTGCATTTGTTTGCATAATTTCTCTTCGTCTCCCTTTAGGTGTCCTGATTTTTTTCCTGGCTGTGCTGAGTGCCCATCGAAGGCATGTGTTCATCGCGAGCATTTCTAACACTCCTATTTGATCCTTTCGTGTTCCATCTCTGCACCATGACTGCTTGTGTGGTCCTGCACATTTCCCACTTTGTCCGCTGGAGCCTTTAATGTATTATTTGCAGTTATTTCAAATTCCCCGTCAGATAGTCCCAACAGCTGTGTCACAAATGACTCTCGTTCTGATGACTGCTTTGTCTCTTGGAGCTTTTTTTTGCTGTTTCGTAGTTTCTGGAAACTGCACATCTTATGTAGAACAGCAGAGACTGGGCAAGCCTTCCTTCAGTTAGGCCTGTGTTTGAGCTAATGTAGTTAAGTTTTCGGATTGAAGCGTGCTGTTGCTATGGTTTCATTCAATGTACTATAGCTTTTTATTCCTCTAGCGATACTTTGTGCTTCAGGTGGTGGCTGGATGGCTAGAGAGCTCCCCCCGCCCCGGCCCCCCGCCCACTATCTGCTCCATTCTCAGCTTTCGGTCTTCCTGTGCCTTGTGCCTCAGAGAAGGTCTGTCTCATGCAAGCCGCCTGACTCGGTCATCCTGTGCACCAGTGTCCAGTGTGCCATCTCGCTTCTCCTTGCAGGTGTGTTTACCTCCTTGGATTCAGGCCTACTGGCTGCCCTTGTAGCCTCAGCCCTCTGATGGGGTGAGTAAAGACCATGAGTTTGCTGCACGTGTGGCTTTTTTCTTTAAAGTTTGGAACGATGCTCACTCTAGCAATACCTGGGCAGAAACCAAAGCACTCACACCGAGTTACTCCCATTTATGGATCATCTCCTTTCGCTTAGGCATTGCATCATTCTGGAAGTGGCACAATTTCCCTACCTTCCCTAATTACTTCTCTGGCAGCTGGCATCACTCACGCAGCTGGTGAAGGGGCTTTACATCGCTGTGTTGCTCCCGGCCCTTTCTCATTAACTTTTAAAACTTCCCTTCTTCTTCTATCTTAAAGCATAACCTGCCTTTGAGAGAAGGCAGCGATATCAATTTAAAACCTGACACTCTGTGGGCGCTCACGCCCTCTATGTAAAACACATATGCAACACTCAGTCAGCATTTTCCTTTTCACTGGTGCATATCTTTACTCAATTTCTGATGTTCAAATTATAACGTTTTTAAGTTGCGTACTTGTTTCCCTTGAGTAGAGAGCACTAAAGGTTTTTCCCACTAGTTCTTTAAACTTATAGATCTTAAAACATTTAAAAAATCAAGATGCTCAAGTACCAGTAGTTCTCCTAAGTCTCCTTCGCCCCCAAAGTCACACCATACACGTCAGAGGCAAACACAGCACATACGTCACGAGTAGGAAACTTTCAGTTTCTAAAACAGCAGCATAAGGACACAGAGCTAGCTACCACTTAAATTTTATAAAATGGTTCACGATGGAACACTGACACCAGTTTAAATACACAGCCTTTGGAATGACATGCTGATGGCATTACCAGCCCAAAGGTAGATGAGCAGAAGCTGAACCAAGCAGGAGGGGAGAGAGGGTTTCTACCCTGAGAAAAAGCACAGCAGTTGGGACGTAAAGCTGTGGCACTAACGTGAGGTCCTCGGCTGAGGCAGCACAGCCTGGACCAGACAATAAAAAAACATTTAGAAAATTTAGATTTAAAATCCGCCCAAAGAGTTTTCTCTGCCAGGACATAGGATAATGGTGCACAGTAAGAAAGACGAAGACGAACTCCTTCTTACAGAGGAAATCGGATTGTTTCAGGAACGGAAAAAGCTGTTATTTCTATCTGTGCCCCAGTGTCTATCAAGGAAGAAAAACAGAACACCGAACCTCCTGCCAAGTGAAAAGAAGACCTGCCGCCCAGGACGCTCCCCTAGGAGGGCATTAGGGTCCCACGGGCGCCCAGGGACACCGCCTGCAGGAGCAGAGGTGTGTTGTTTATGTTGTGTAAATCTCGTCAAGTCCTGAAAAATACAGCTGCTATTATTCCTACTTAGAGAAAAAAGTTCCCCTTCTCTGTGTCAAAAGCCCACATGTGACAATGACAGAACGTTTAGGTGGCCAAAACCTGTAACAACTTCTGAAATTATATTAATATTCAGAGAGAAACATGAAGGGAAAGTTAGCTAAATTAAAAGTTAACGTAATTTGACCTCTATGCTATAGAACTTTTTTCTGCTATACAATGCAAGTAGGTTAACTTTTCAGAAATAATGTCAATTATCACAGCTGATCCAATCCCTACAGTGTGCTCCTGGCCTCATATGGGAAAAGGACACTTGTGTCAAGAAAAAAAAAAGCCAAGTTCTTCACTCAATTTAGGTCATAGTCTCCATTTGTTTGAAATGACAAGAAGGGACTAATATTGTAATATCCAGTTTACATACAGCTCACATGGGGGGAATCCATGAATTTTTTGGCGTCATCAGAAACACTCCATCTTTGGTATGAGCACATCATAACGACATTCTAACATTGCTGAACCTTTAGAATGGCATTCGCGGCCACCTTTATCGTTATTATACTGTCCTCTGGGCAAGCAAATGCCAAATGCAGCCGCGCAGGCTTGTGGCTCTGTGGTCGGAGGCCACGTGTGAGCGGAGGGCGGGGGGGCGCGATGCCAACTCACCCTCCAGCTGGCCCGCGTGCATCCCCGTCGCTTGCTGGCTGGGTGATCTGGTCATCGATTCAATGTACAGCTGCTGGCCCAGGTTCTTAATTTTGTTTACGCTGGCATAGACCTGTTGCAAAGTCAGCTGAGGGAAAGTGTGACAAAATGTGTTTTAAATATTAAAAAAATGGACCTGTGAAGACACATACACAAAATTCCTTTACTTTCTGGTTCTCTGAGGACAGAGGACGAGCAGCAAGCAGTAACGTTTAGCTAGTTTCCCAGACATCACATCACACTAGCACAAATAGAATTTTAAATAAATCTGTTCACAACATGCTAATTTTTAGAAAGCACGCAACTGACCCAAATAGCACCTTCCAAAGGTGATACTTTCTCTTTACAGACATCTCGTGACGCGCAATGGTTAGAATGTTTATCGCCAGACTACGTCTCCAGGTGGAGGGCACGTTCCGGGCAGTCCCGTGTGTAGAGGTGCAGGGCTTGTGCGGACACGTCCCAGAGGGTGACACAGGGGTAAGGGCACGCCTGGCCACTCACCGGCTCCTTCCGCGCGTCCTCTGCGCAGTGCCCGCTGGACTCACTGGAGGACGCCACGCTGACCTGCTGCTCCTGGGACCCGCTGCTCCCCAGGCTCCCGTAGCCACTGGAGGCGCTCATGGGGACTGGCTGGAAGGAAAGGGGGCAGCTTCAGAGCCACCGGCTACAGCGGGCAGAGGTGACCGGCACCGCCCGCCTCCCGGCCCACCCACAACCCCTGCCCCATGCAGACCGCGCTCCTGGAACCCCGACCTGGGCGCGCGAAGGCTGATACTTTTCACCCTAATGCTAGGGTGAAAGGCACGCCCCTCTCCTGTCCCAAACAAGGGCAGACCTAGTTTTCTAGTGTAAGGGGCATTTCTGGCCAAAAAATTTTTTAAAGCCATAGTAAAATAACTTAAAATATGAAAATGAACTCGTTCTTTATGCTGAGTTTAGAATAGACAGAACAAATTAAATATATGCCATACTTTTTCCCCCAAGAACGTTACGGATGCTTCATGAACCCAACAGATCTTATAAAAGACATTCTGAAAACCACTGGGCTGACAGTTTTCTATGTGGCACCACTCGTAAATACTTTACATGGTTACTGACCGACTCCCCAATAAAAATCATTTTGGGCATGTGTTAGCAACAGATTTTCCTACCTTTGCCTTATGATGACTAGAGATATGGAGACCTGCCATCCCTCGCCTCCGCCTTTAAAACTGGAATTATTTTTAAAAATACTGAAGCCGACACCCGGTGTGGAGCATGCTGGTAGTGCCTGGAACCCAGGGAGCAGCAGTCTCCCCATTTAGGAATAACTCCTGTCTTACTGCTTTTCTATGACTCAGGTTTGTTGCCTTAAAATGAGGTCTTACAAAAACTTTCCATGTGTTTAACAAAGAAAAAGGAAACCAAGATTAATAAAATTTAATTTAAAAACAAAAAAGAGGAAGACAAAAATGTCTGGAATGCAGAGGGTCACAGTTTCTCTCTCCTTGCAATTTATTTCTGTGAAGTGACTTTACAAAAACTGTATGTTAAAATGAAATATGACTTTGGGAATTTATGTGTTTTTTAAAATCTCTCATTTTACCTGTAAGAGAAGTTTGTGAATTTGTTCTTGTAATTCTGTAATGTCTTTGTCAATATTGTTCGTCTTTTTTATTCTGTTAGCAAAAACATCCTCATTGAGTGGACTCCTACAAAACACCAAGTGAAACATTGAGTCAAACAATCTAAAATTAATTTACAATGAAGGCTAAAGTGATTTTTAATAGACTATTCAAATAATAAATATGCTTTTACAAAGCAACTCTTTGACTCAAAATATAGAAAATAGGAAGCTAAAACTCTCTTCCCGGAGGTAGAGGAAAGACTTAAGAAACAAACAAGACATTAACAGGCTTTAGTTTTTCTGTAGTTCTGGTCTTTCTTTTTACAATTGTTTCAACGCTATATAAATCTGTGATGAGGAGCCTCCCTAGCTATCAAATATCTTCCACAACTACTGGGTCTCGAAATTTAACATTAACCAAGTACCTATTGCAGGAATTTTAAGACCCTAAGTTTGCCAAACAACATTTCATGTTTAAAGTACCTAATGACTTAAGCTATGTAATAAAGATGATTCTGTGACACACCCTAGTGGTGAAAGTGTGGTTGTCGCAGTATCTTCAAGTCACATTAATATTCAAATTGAGCATTTTAAATCTACTACCTGAATGCAGTGAGAGGCAGACATGCCAACAGGAAGAATAACAAAGAACAGAAGGAACTGACACTCAGGACCTTCTATGTGAAAGGAATGGTACTTGTTTTATGCAGTAAGGATAATATTTTCTAAACCCTACAATGTGCCAGGCACAGTTCCAAGTGCTCCACTAAGCACTGTCTCCTTCACCTGAGCTGAGCACTTGCTTGAGGTCATCCAGGGGCCAAGGAGGGGCCGGAGTCTGGGCTCCAGGGAGCACACTTTTGCCCCGGCGCTGGACTGCCGCCCGGTACCTCAGTACCGTGAATGAGGTGTGCCGGGTCAGCTCCTCATCCCCTGCATCCTCACCACCCTACGAAGCAGGAATCACCCTACTGTCTGAGGGGCTGAGAGACCCGCCGAGTTCCCACAGCCAAGAGGCAGCGGTCAGGGCTGGAAGCCGCGCGCTCGGCTTCAAGGCCAGAGCTGCACCGTGTCCACTACGACGTCCTGCCAAGTCTGCAGCATAAACGTAGGGCTCAGTGTCCTCAAACACTTTCCCAAAGACAGATCATCATCAAAAAACCACTAGATGTCAGTGCCATAACAGCAGTCAGGTCCCCTAGTTGGTGGAGGGACCAACCTATACCCACCGATCGGCACGGCAGTGCCTGTTGTAAGTGACAAAACTGGACTTGAAAGCACAGCCAGACACACGGTGCACTATAATCACTTTGCCTGCGTCTGCCCCCCTGCCTCCCGCTGCCGTGCAGGCTGTGTGGGGTCAGGCTCCCTGGCCTGCTGAGTTCGCTCCCCCAGGACCCGGCACATAACAGCGGATGCACCCTGGGGACAAAGCGCATCTACTTCGTGACCTGCACACGCCCACGTGTTATGGGCCTGGGCATCTCAGAGGTGTCTCGGTTACGTTTTTCAAATGAAATTCTGAAATGGAAAAAGAACAGACTGCTTTGTTTATGATTTAGATAGTCCTATCTGTGAAACTTACTACAAAACTGTCTTCTTAATTTGTAATTATATAACTCAAATTGGTTAATGAGTAGGCAGCGGAGACACAGCCTTCATCAAAAAGTGGCCAACAGCCCCTGTGCACAGAGAGGAAACTGGACGAGGTGAGAGGAAGAAAAGCTAAACCTAGTCTCCCCTTTGCGACTTCCCCCCGCGCCATCCGTGGACCAGTTACTCTCTCTCCGGATGCGACCGCATCTGTAGATCGAGCAGTGACAGCGCCCCTCTGCCTGCCCACAGAGCCTCTGGGAAGGGCCTGAAGAGGGGCAGTGAGGGGCCCCGCTGACACCCACAGCCCCCTCCCCACTCCAAAGCCTGCGTGCCCTTCCCATTTGCTGCCTCTCCCACTGCACTGTGGGTGTCACACTGTAACGAGAACGTCGGTCACCATCTCATCCTCAGGGTCTAGTAAGTACAGTGCCTGACATGGCGGGCGATCCACGACTACTCACTGAAGGAATAAATGCATTTAAATAATTTTACAAACACGATGGATGATTATTTTAAGAGAGAGATTAATACTTACTAAACTCTAAGTTCTTTCACTCATATAATCCTGGATCTTGAGATGTAAATATTGGTGTAATTTTAAATAATACTGAAAACGTTGGGAGAACTTGCATCAGTTAATTTAATGTGCATTTTAATCAAAGAACAGAAAGGACAGCTTGGGGGTTCCAGGATGTGTCTCGGCACTGACTGGGGGAGGGTCTGCAGACCAATGACGGCCACCCTGCTGGGCGTGGCAGGCTCACCAGCCCCGCGCTCCTCCTGAGCAACCATCTGATTTACTGTCCCCTGCCACAGGTTCCGAGCAGGGTCCTCTCTGACCAACAGGAACTGCACTTCCTTGGCAGGTTTGTTTCTTATCTTGTTAAGTTAGTTTGCTAGAACAAATCGGTCTCGTGACCTAGGGCGTCAAGGCACCCGTCCCTTCCATGAAGGCTCCAGACATGCTCTGCCGAGAGGCCAAACCCCAGGGGGCAAGAGGGGCTTGAGCCCCTTGCTCCCCACGGCCGTGTGTCACTGCTACAGCGCCCGCGTGACCACGGGGGGCCTGCTGCCAACCCACCGTTCTGTTTTATGCTCACGTGCACAGAGCTGTCTGACCAAATGCGAAAGACATCTCCATCTCAGCATGTGGGAAGCTACGAGAGTTAAGTATAATTTCCACACTTATAAAAAAAAGACATCAAAGGGAAAACTATGGCCCAGCTGAGAAACAGACAAGTCAGTTTTAAATGTACCGAAACATCAAGGGACTGGGAGCATGTTAGGTGCAAGAATGTGGGCCAGGTGGTTCTGGGTCTATTTCACAAGGTTCTGTTAGCGGGTAAGGTAGCAGCAACCAACCAAACAGGCTTGAACTGAGTCAGCTGTGTTGGCGGGAAAATAAATGAAAAAGAATCTAATTTTTAAAAATAAAGATTTAATAAAATAGCCACAAACTAGTGGAATTGACAGCAGAAGGCTGATATAAAGTTTTACATGCTCAATAAAAAGGACTTTAAAATTCTGAAACGGAAAAAAAAAAAATCATCCAGAATCCCGCTATCCTACACATAACCAAAATTTATATTTTAATTAATTTCCTTCTAATCTTTTTATATTACAAAATCAGTGTTTATATAGTTTAAACAAAATTATAATCATATGGTGTAAATAACTTTGCAGGCTGCTTTTCACATCTGACATATCAATTTCCCACGTTATATAATCTCTGTAAAAATTTTTATTGACCAATATATATAACATGTCAAGCAAATTTCCAGTTTACTTAATGATGGGCATTTAAGCTACTCTAGCTCTGCCATTACAATTAGATAATGTTGCAAAATGTCTTTATAAAGCTTTTCTCTACTCAGGCACATTTCCTTACAATATCCCCATGAGGGAATCATTAGGTCAAAAAAAACCAAAAATCTTTTAAGACTCTTGGTACATATTGCTAAACTGTCTTCCAAAAGCCCTAGAAAAAAAATCTGTGTTTTATTTAGTTGATGTATTAATCAATTCAAAAGGGAGTAAGTAGGAAAGGAATATTATTTGGTAAAAAAAGATTTTTTAGAAAACATGAAAACTGACGGACTTACGTTCGAACTTTATGTCGACCGATGATGAAGGAAACCTTCCGGCTCCATGGGTTCACGAAGCTGGACCAGCTGGAGTCCAGTCTAATGTAATCTCCATTTTGAGTACAAAATCTAACGGGTGAATGTTCAAAGGGAGGACGGCCTGCATACTTCAAGACTATATAAAATAAGATAAAATTAGAATTCAACGGATATTACAAATGCCATTTTTAGGTATCTATTTGCAAATTTTTAAAAAATGTCAAAGTAGAAAAAAATTGTTTTAGCAGTTCCAACACACTACTTACCTGGTTAAAGGTTAGGCTCTCGCGATTAGAGCTTATGAGAAGCTCTCATAAGAAATGAAATGAAATATTAAATCAATGATCAATAACCCCATTTCTGCCCATAAAGAAGTAGGTCCTCACCTTTTTGGTGTATGGCGACCATCAGAGGACGGTCTTCTGGGTGTAAATATGTTAAGACAGACATCCCGACCAGGTCCTGAGGCAGGTATCCCAGCAAAGGCACAGCTCTGGGCACAGACACACGGCCAGGCACCGCGTTACACGCCTCAAGTAACTGTCACACTCTACGTACTTTTAAAAATATTCCTCTGTAATACTTAACTTTAAATAGGAAAAAAAAAGGTCCACAAAAGATGTTCATTACAGCATTTGTAAAAGTAACAAATGACCTAAGTTCAAGTAACTTTCACACTCTACGTACTTTTAGAAAATACTTCTCTGTAATACCTAATTTTAAATACGAAAAAAAGGTCCACAAAAGATGTTCGTTACAGCACATGTAAAAGCAACGAATGACCTAAGTGCCCATCCTGTAGGAATCTAAGAAATGTTGGTCACCTGACATGTTCCATCAAAATCACCTACAGAACCTGCTAAAAAAAAAGATCTTATGCTCTGGTTTTTCTTCAGATCATGAAAAAACAGATCCACGGGCTCATGACGAGCTAACTAAATCAGAATTCCCAGGTTGAGACTGAGAATCTACATTTTTAACAAGTTCCTCAGAGGACCCCGATGTCCTCCATTTTCCTATTATCTAAAAAGTCTACACAGATCTCGTCGTGACAGAAAAATGCTTACTATGTTAAGTGAATAAAGCGAGCTACGAATTTAAATAGTCTGATGAAAATTACACTAAAATAATGTCTTTCAAAAGGTAACACCAAATAGACAGGCAACCTGTACACAAAGTCACTTCCCAAGAAACTGGTAATGACAAGCCATTCTGGATGACTTAGAAAGGGCTGACTCCATAAACATTTTCTATGTGTACGACGTTCAGAAATATTTTCTAATGTAATAAATTTAAGCTATTTTCATAATATATTTGGTTAAACTTTCTTACTTTGTACGGATTACATTACACAAAGTATCCCACCAATTACTGTTTGGTTTTGGTAATTATTATTAAATATATCCACTTTTAGATGTTAACATTTAAAAAAAAAATTAACACCTATCCTAACTGACAAGGTTTGACATCTTGCTTTACGCTTACTCGTGGCATGATGCTTGTTTCCCAGATTTTGAGATTTCATGAATAAGTAAAATTTTAAAATAAATGTGGGGAAAATGGAGGGTACTGATCAGGGGACAGAAATATTTCACTTTTCTAAGTAAAGATATTAAAAAAACAACAATAAACAGCAACTACTATTCATTATCACTTTTCTTTAAGAAAGTAGGAAGGACATAAGTAACAATTTTTTAAAATAAATTTACTTTTATACATGTCACCTCCTGACTTACTTAGAGCAGACTCCTGCGAAATCAAGTATAACTTGTAAATTTTAAGTCTAACGTGCGAGATATTTATATTAAAAATTTAGACAACACAAATAATTTTGCACTAATAAAAACCAAATAGGTAAGTGGATAGATACCAGATATATAGCAGAAGTACGTAAACATATGTAAATCTTTTCATGTTTGTACTTATTTTCAGAAACAAGTTTCTTTTAGGCTTAAAGAAGTACTTACCTTTCATCTATTTCAAGGAAAACACACCCTGGAGTGTGTGTTGTGGTAAAAATTCTTTTATCCACTGGGATTCGAGGAGCTACAAAAAACCAGAAAGATTCATTTAAAAGCAAATATATCTAATTAATCATCCACTTTAATAATCACTTAAAATTTCTATATGAAATGGGAGAAATATCACTTAGGGGCTTTTGAGCAGCCAAAGCCACACTTAAATGATGATAATTTTCATTATTAACTTCCATTTTAATTAGGTCAAAATATGATGAGTACCGAGTTAATTTTAAACAGAGAGAGAAAGCCTGTGTACACTGAATAGCTTACTCATCACAAATAATCCAACAGTCAGAGCTGGAGTAACTTTATGCTCAGGATTGAAAAGCTCCGCCATATTTAGTGGCTGACACGACCAAGCGCAACGAGATCTGACGGGGACGTACTAGTTCGTGTGGTAAGATCGGTGTGGCCAGTTCTGCTGTAGCTGGCTCTGAACACATGGTGATTGATACATTAGGGAACAATTAGAGCATGATGCTAATTTGCGTTTGCTTACGTATGATTTCATTTGCAAGAAACACGAAGTGAATGCAGAAAACATCTAAGTTAATGGAGTCCCTTAAGCATACACAAACAGCTGCCTGCTACCTCCTGCACCGCACCGTGTCGTTATGGGATAGGGGACGCTGGTCCGATCTGATGTAAGGACGTCCCATCTCCGTTAGGACAACCTTCCTCCCACCCCCTGTGGTAACTCCAGAGCTGCAGCCACCGCAGTGCCCTCGTCCAAACCCACTGCGGGCTTCTCCAGGGTACGGAGCCCTGCTTACTGCGGCCTTTGTGCATTTCTTAACCATATAATGTTTAAAACTGTTACCATGTTTGTTAGAGTCCTGTCTTATTTCTGGTTAAGTGAGTGCTGTGCCCCTGAACTCATTTTTCCCACAGACCTATGGGTTTTTAGTGTGTGACTTTTTGTTGCACAGGATGATCATTTTTAGAAAAGTTATAGCGGAACTGACTGTAATTTCACGTAATAAAAGGAAGCTGCTTCTGTACTGATAGGTATGGAATTTAAAAATGCAGTTCTGCTATCAGAGGATATAAACTATACTAAAAAGTTTGTTTTTACACACAGTAAAAACTAGAGGGTTTCAAAACACTTTAAAACTATACATTCGTCCTTGTGACCTCGCTGGTGCTCTTATTTCACATAAGACAGAAGTGACAGGCCACAGGTCACAGGAAGAGAAAGGATCAGGGGACCAAGTATCTGTGGCAAGTCCAAGCTTAGACCTTAGGCCCTGGCGTCCTTGAAGGAGAGGACTGCACAAAAAGTCAAGGTCAGGAAACAGACATCGGGAGATTCGCTGCAAACGCTTTGGGCCAGGGCCAGGCTGAAAGGTGGAGCACTCTT